AGCTCCTGCCGAATTTGTTTTGAGGGCATTGCTAATTCTTAAACTCTCAGTATTCCTGTACTAGGGGTTCTGAAAACAAGCTTATTTCAAAAACAAAATGTGTTTTAAAACTATCATGTCAAAAATGAACAATGTTTGACTTATTAAGTTGGTTTGGCAGATTTAGTTAATTTAGTTGGGCGGTTAATATCGATCCAAGTGTGATTAAAATCACGGTGTTAAGGACATCGTAGCTCAAGTGGGTAGAGCGTTGGCTGGCGTAAAAGGCCTCCCTCCTATGCGGGTTCGAATCCCGCCGAATGCCGCGAGTTCGCGGGTTCGAATCCCGCCGAATGCCGCGAGTTTTTTTACAATTGGGTCAACTGAATTATTTGACTTGATTAGGTCTGAGCTTTACAATATCGAACCAAGGGCTTCTAAGTTCATCGGAATAGCCGCATGTTCCCTTATTCTATCAGACCTAAGTATTAGTAGTATTATTGAGAAGACGAATATGTGACCGCTGGGACAAAGGTTTTAATCGTCTGAAGTTTCGAAATCCATCGCGCCTACTTCATTAGAAACCTTACCAAAACTTAAACCGCTTAACAGTCCTTAAACGTCAAATGGCATTTGTATATTTAAGTCTATAACAGGTATGCTGTCTCTGAAGATAGTTTCAGTGTGGAATCTGAAACCTCATGCAAATAAAGTTCTTGGCCCAATGATCACGTTTACTACTCCATTGCAAGCATCTGAGTTTCTAGTAAAGCATGATGCATACCAGACGCGGAAACTGTTTTAAGCCCCTGAAATTAATTGTCTCTTACAGCAGTTACAACCTACATCCACGAATCCTGACTAAAATTTCACGAGAAACATTCAGCTTAGGTTGAGTCAAGAATTCCAATGGGGTCGGTTGCCCAATGTTTGGGACAGGCATTTGTTTATTACACAGCTGCTCCGTCCATCCCCTATTGTTGCCTATAGAGCCCGAGATGTCCGAACAGTGAAGATTGGGGGGAGGGGCGCCCCACGTTCTG